AGGACGGGACACAATCAAGAAACACGGCTAATAAATATTAGTGAGTCTGAGATGATAATTAGTACTAGACCTGTGTTAACCGCCTTTAACAACATTAATATTTACTTTGACTAGATATGTAATCCTATTATTTTCGGACTGCAACATTCATTACTACTTTGCAATAACAAAAGGTGTCAACTCAAAGTAACTATTGTTTCGTCTCTTCAAAGTAATGGTGCTACATATCCTAACTCAACCAAATCTGACCTTTAACCTATTCTTATCATTTTAAACACGGATTGAATTTGGGTTCGCAGTTGAGATTTTGAGTCAATTCAGATTCATAAATATATTTTATTATCTTGGCTTAGAGTTTGGAAGGAAATGAGAAGATGTACGGGTTGCTCGTATTAGCTAATTTGGGATACGTTGGGTTTGGTTTTAGACCGCTCAACACATGAACCCGAACCCGAACCAAAATAAATTTGGATTTTTTTTTTTCAACCCAAGCCCAAATTGAACAACACTGCCCAAGCCTGAAAATTTTGGAGTTGGGCTTGGTTTAGGCCGACCGAGTTGTAGTTCAGCCCTACTACTAATAAAAGCAATGCTACCCAATCATAAAAAATAATAACTAAAAGAAAAGGCAGATTTACAAGTACTGTTGGATATTGATGGCTGGAATCGAGTCTTTAGCTTTACACTAATGAAAGCAAAGCTTTTCAAATTAGATCGTCACTACATTCCCACTTATATTTTTAATTTTTTGAAATTCGATAGAGTGTTTTCAATTGTAAATTATTTTGCTTCCGGAAATTTCCAGAGAAATTCTAGTTTTTTTTTTTTTATCTATTTTTTTGGGACAAAAAACTCACAAATACATATTACTTAGACACTCACTTTACTTACTCCTTTGAAAACTCGAACTCTCACCATCCACGTTAAATGTCTAGTTCAAACCTTTAAAGTTTTTATTTTTTATTTATTTAATAAATATCTTCAAATCACTTAGAAACCACCTTTTGGCAGATTCATAATTCATACCCTTTGATCTTAAGCCATTTATAAATTTCCACCTTACAAATATAGGAACTCGAATAATAAGCCATTGTCACCTGAACTCATTTATAAAATAAAAATAAAAAAATAAATAAAAAAGAAACACAGTTTCAGAGAGGAAAAATAATTTATGGAGTAAAAAGAGAATGCAACACTTTTACCTCATAACTTGGTAGTATTCAATACGCAAAAAATGCATTAAAAAGTCCTTCTCAATAAAGTAATAGTTACATTTTATACAACTCACAAACACCAAATTAATAGGTATATATATATACAATCAATCAAGAAAGAGAAAATGCTGAATATAAGAAGAAAGGAAAAAGAAAAGAAGGCAAAACGTAGAGCTTAAGCATGCACAATATGAGGGTCTAGACCTAACTGTTTCCTAATTTTACCCACAAATAAATCCTTGGATTTGATCAAGCCTGGAACAAGTCCGATCATTGTTGTGAACGAATATTGAGCAACAGCATCCCTTCTCCCCAACGAAACAATAGCCTTTATCGAACGAGGCTCGTAAGTCGCCATTTTGCTCTCTTTTCCTCCGGTCGTCAGTAGTTTCAAGTTCTTTGCAGCCACCAGAGCATGTTTTTGTGCCAAATATCCTTGCTTAATTTCCTGGCACGCCAACATTGTCATGCAACAACCAAGGATTAGATTTGCTCGGGATACATACATATTCATTCAAGGCTACATTTACTTGAACCATAGGCGTAATGCATGTTTCGGTTGTTGCAAAGCATTATGGTAATGAAGCAAAGATATATTTCTGCAGATTAGATGAAACGTAAATTTCCATGTGAAGAAGGCACTTTAGGAGAGTTTCCTCTTCAGTGCCCAATAAATCTAAAATTTTAAAAGATTAGTGACAATCAATATGGTTTTAAGATGCTGGAAAGCCTAGAATATAATTTTAGTAGGGTGAATATGCTAGAATTAAATTGGATTACGCTATGAAATGTTGTCAAAATCATTGGTACTTTATAAAGAGTTTCTTCAACATCTACTCAATTTTTAACATTCTGCTAAAAATCTGAACCACTACCCTCTCCAGGGTAGTAAGAGATTACATCTCTGATTTCAGCATGGTTAAAAGTTCATTTCATCCTATTCTTACAATTTTTCATAAATGAGCAACATTTATTCAAGTCTTAAGTTAGTCATTAAACAATATTTATTTCATACATGAGCAAACATTTATTTAAGTCTAAGTTGGTCATTAAAACAATATTAATCCTTGCAAGAAAACCATCCAAAGATAGGTGTGATTTAGCACTCACCCGAACATCAGTGATGTCGCCAATGGCAAAAACATTCTTGCGACCCTTGACTCTCATATTCTCATCAACCATTAACCTTCCAAGATTGTCCAAGTTATCCTTCAATATGGTCTCCTTTAGCCATGCCGAACCCAGTGGTTTCCCTATGCACAAAAACATGCAATCTGCTTTGATAATCTCTCCAGCTGAAGTTCGATAAGTTTTGCTTCCATCGGAAATACTGTTCAAATTGACTGATTGCTCCAGTTTTACTTCCACTTTCTTTGATTTCAACCAATCTAGAGCTTTACCAGCAGCTTTTGGTCCGATAAATTCGAGCAACCTGTATCCCTTATGCACCAGAGTAACCTTCTTTTCTGGATAATCAGCAGCAATTTCTCCGGCAAGTTCGACACCAGTGGGGCCACCTCCAATGATCAAAATGGAATGTGCCTCTTTTATCTTTTCATTTTCTGCCATTGGAAAGAAGTAGTAGTTCAATCATAAGTAACATCATATGAGAAATGGGATGAGCTATAATCCAATGGTTTTTAATAGTCCATAAACAATCATACTATCAATAAAATTGTACTTATATGTAAATCTAGAATCCAAGTTCAGTGATTTTAAAAGAGGTGATACTAGAGTCCACACGGTGAAACAAGTTTCAAGAATTGACCAGATAATTTACAAATTTGAGGTACACAATAAAGCTCGGGCTTTTGATATTCGATCCTAAGCAAATCGTAGCTATCAATTGAATCGAAGCAACTGCAAACTTTTCTAAAGATAAAAACACATCCTAGTAACTTTTTCTTTGATACAAATGGCAAAATTTGAAATACTTCACCCAATTCTACTTTAAAAATTCTCTCTTTTTTTTATTGCTTTGGAAACTTATGCTGCAGTTCATGAGAATAAGAACAATGTCAAATTCCTATATATAGTTTTGTAATTTGACATAATTTTACCTGTTTCGTATTGTTCAAGTTTTTCATTTCTTGTTGGTAGAATGGGATGATCTTCGTGGCCAGTAGCAATGACAAGAAAGTCGTACGGGATTAGACGGCCCTCTGAGGTCAATACCTCAGTGGCAGTGATGTCGATGGCACTGGCTGTAATGACACGGCCATTGGTAAGGTATTCTCGGTGTTTGATAACCGATCTCTCTGCAAATGATGGCTCCACCATTGACCTCAAGCTAGCCCATGTGATCTCAAAATATTCCTTCCTGGTTGAATCTTAATCTTAGCAAAAAAGATAATAACGTATCTATACTATTATCAAGATTATTCTTTAGGGTAGTTTAATAAACCAATTTAACTGACAACTCTTCAAGAACAAAATAAAGTGAAGAGTAAAGAGCTAAATAAGAAAGATATGCAAATAATCGATTGGAGATGTGACATGATCTTTATGTCAAAGGAAAATCTAGGCAAATTGCATTTTGGTTGCTTATGCATTATCACCACAATGCTCCCAATGTTTTCTTTCAGTTTTGAGTAGTTTTCTATTGATTTAATTTTAGTTTTGAAAAATGTAAAGGAGATAAACAATGTATAATATTTAAAAAATGAAACCTTGTCGGAACATATTATGATGAAACAGAGTAAATTGGACTTGTTAAGGCCTAGGACTAATGGCTCTAATTAATAGTCTCATGCAGGGGTTTATATATAATTGCATAACCTCTTCGATTTGTAAATTAAATTTGAACGGATTAAATGCTTATCCAATTAAGTGCATTTGATAACGCAATTTGAATACTACAGAAAATGGAAGGCATAAAAGTTTAAGTGACAGGAAGTGCAGAAACAACATCACTTATCATTGAATGTTTTGAACGCTAAAAATTCAAAATGACCACTTAAAAACTTCACTCTTAAATTTTTTAGTACTTAATTTTCAGTTTTATCAAACACCCAAGTCTGTGCTCCTCAATCCATGTCGGTGTACCGGAGTGAATTGTTGAACATCATCATAATGTACATAAGCATAGCATCAGAAATACAATCAATTTAGCTTATATTATGTAATCTTTACCACTTGATGTCACTAAAAAGGCATATGCAGAAGCTCATTTCTGGTATGAAGTGATAAAAAATAAAAATATGTGTAAAGCTTTACAAATTGGTCTCATTAAAAAGGCAAATTCTGACATGTAGTGATATAATCATATAGATAAGTGAAACTCTACAAAATTCAGTTTCATCAAATAGAATATGTAAAACCCACATAAAGAATATGTACATAAGGCTAAAAATGATAAAATCAAGCAATTCCCAAATTCAATTTGAAGAAATATTCATATATCAAAAGAAAAAGATGGAAATGAAAGGAAAAGAGAGGAATATAGAAGGCTTACGGATCAATGAGAGTGACGTCAGCAATAAATTGCAGAGATTTGGCAATAAGAGAGCCAGCTACACCACCTCCGATCACCACTACCCTCCTCTCTCCTCCCCATTCTCTGTGGGTCTCCATTTCAATTCTTTCTTCAACTGATATTCCTCATCAAGTCCTCCTACATATATACATATATATATATATACACACATGTACGCCCATATATATGTGTGTTGCACTTGTCAAAGTATTAAATGTATACGTGCAACGCAGACCAACTCCATTTTTTGCCACTGGGAAGAAGAAACCAATTAACAAATTTATGATACTACCTTGGCATTATAGAAAAAAGAATTATTACAGAGATGTTGCACTCAATCTCCTCCCATAGATCTTCTCAGCCACCCTCTCAGCCACGTCCACCTTCCGATGAATCTTACAAGCCCCTAGCAATGCACCCCACAGAGCCTCATCCGGCTCCACCTCCATTCCCTCAATCAACACCTCCGCTTCCTCAACACAGCCAGCCCGCCCCAACATGTCCACCATGCAAGTGTAATGCTCCAACCTGGGCCTCAGACCAAACCTTCCCTTCATCATCTCAAAATACTCCCTCCCCTTATCCGTCAAACCCCCATGACTACACGCTGTCAGAACAGTAGTAAAAGTCATTCCATCCGGCAATACCCCAGCATTCACCATCTGTTCAAACAACACAAACACCTCACCAGAATTTCCATGCATCCCATAGCCCGCCATCATTGCTGACCAAGTAACCGAGTTCATCTCCGGCATTTTATCAAACACCCACCGGGCACTAACCAAATCTCCACACTTTGAGTACATCGTAATCAAAGCACTTAAATTTGGAACATCTGAACCAAACCCATTCGCTAAAACCACCAGGTGGACTTGGCGGCCAAGTCGGAGGGCCGATAAGCCAGCACAAGATTTGAGAACGGTGGGCAAGGTGTGTCGGTCAATGGGTTTGTGGGCATAGAGCATTTGGCGAAAAAGGGAGAGGGACTGAGAGAAGAGGTTGAGGGAAGAGAAGCCTCTGATGAGGGAGTTGTAAAGGAAGGTGGATTGGCGGTTAGTGAGAGAAAATATGTGGGTGGCATCGAGCATTTGGGCACAGGCAGCATAGTTAGAAACGAGCTTTGATCGTATAAAGTCGTGGCGGGAAATTCCTACCGATATGATTTTCGCATGTATTTGTTTCAATTTTATCAAATTCTTTGTGGACAAACATGAGTCAAGGAGTGAAGCAAAGAAAGGAACTAAGTTGAGAGGGGTGGGCATTACTGTGTGTGGCTGTGTGTGTTGGGGGAGAGAGAGAGAGGTCGTTAACCTGGTTCTTCTTTGTAGCAAGCAATTAGATGATAACACCCTCTACGGGGCCAGCCCTGAGATTCCAAATATTTTGAGAGGCCCTAGGCGAACATTCAAATGTGAGGCCCTTGAGTTTCACACACGCAAAAAAGAATTATAAGAGTGCGAAATTTTAACACGATGTTTTCAAATTCTATAACTAATATAATTGTGTCCATGTGCATTGTACCTAAGACAACTAACTAATAACTATAAATTTATCACCATCAATAAATAATTTTGCGCTTGTACAGTGTTCATAAGACAACTAACTAATAAGTATAAATCTATTACCACCAATAAATAATTGTGCACGTGTGCTATGTGCTTAAGACAACTAACTAATAACTATAAAGTTTTATCACCACCAATAAATAATTGTGCACATGTGCAGTGTGCATAAGACAACCAACTAATAACGATAAATTTATCAATTAAAGAGTGCTAAATTTTCACAGGCACAAAATAAAAAATGAAGTGAACAGTTTACTGGAGAACTACACTACACTTTGTTGTGTGTTTTTTTGGGAGCCAATTACCCGCAGTGATTGATTGATCATTGCTACAGAAGACCTGTGCAAATTAATAGAAAAAACCATTAACTTTTGTTTTGTTAAAGCATGCTATTGATTTTCATGTGTTTGTACATTCTGATGGCAAGTGCTTTGACAGCATTAATAACTGAAATTCTAGCTGACCCAATTTCAAATAACATCAATAATGGTGGTATGTATCTTCATATAAAAATAAAATAAAAATAAAAATAAAAAAAACCCTTAATTTGGCACTTTTAAGTATGAGCATAATTTAGAGATCGAAAAATTTAATTATTACCTCAACCCACTAGAAGGGATCCTTAAATTTCGTGGGATTGAATGTGAAAATGCAAAAAATTATGAGGAAAAGGGGTATGGTTGCTGCTGTTGTGAGATTGGAGTGGACTTGGGGAGAGGGAAATACATTATGGACTCGATCGCCATGAAAGACACACGTAGAAAGGCACACATTTATTAATATACTAAGAGAACCATAATATATTCATTCAGCTTTTGATAGCCATCACACACACACTGACACACACACAACCCTAGCTACTTTTCACTATTGGAACAAAGGTAAAGGCCCGAATCAAACGAACCAAAGTTAGAACAAATCAAATGATGAGATGAACGAAAGAAAGAAACATATATAAAAGATCGATTCATGCAAAAGGAGAGATAGGATGAACATACCTTGTCACCTGAGGCGATAGAGGCGGCTGCGCCTTGCGGAGTGTCGAAGCAGATTGTGTCGTCTGTAACTTGCCCTAACTTATTTTTATTTTATCTTATTTCCATCCCCTATGGGCCTCAAATTTTGAGGCCCTCTAAAATCTGAGGCCCAAGGCGACCGCCTTGGTCACCTTGGGCCAGGGCCGGCCCTGACCCTCTATTTGCTTTGAAGATCAGCAAATGCATTTTTTCCATGGGGAGACACAAGATATATTTGGTTTGGTAATTTGGATTTTTGAATTCCAAATTAGTAGTTTTAGCATTTTAAAAGGATACAACGCATTAAATTCATGCCATCTTAAAAAAATATTAATTAGAATTTCAAAAAAGGGACAATAAATCAGAGGTAGAATCCTACTTGTTTAAAAAATAATTGAAAATACACCTATACTTTGGTTGAAAGGCACAACAAGGAAATATGTTGTATGTATCTTATTTGATAAATTAAGCCATGAACCGTATCAGTAATTGGGCCTAAATTTGGCCTCAAGCCCAATAACCTATAATTCAGTCAAGTACATAATTCACAAGTCACAATAAACCGTTTAGTAACATTCTGGCAAAGAGCAAACTTTGGTGCTTGTTTGCATTATCATATAATATTTTCGAAGCATGAAAGTCACTCATTAAGGTTGTTTTGCAATCCTTTTTGCTTTGACCTGAAGTAAAAGTTGTGTTTTATTTTATAATATGTTTAACACTATTTTGAAAGTTGTTTGGTAATGCAAATTTATTGCAAGATTTTTTAAAGTAAAATTATAAAAGCATATATTTGTAAAAAGTGTTGCAAGTTTGAAAATAAATATAAACACAAAAACATCTTGCTAGGTGTTGGTGAATTTTATTTTATTTATTTATTTTATTATTATTATTAATATTAATATATGGCTCCTTATAAACGTAACCATTGGCTGGTATAGTTATTGGAGATTTTTTGCTTTATTTTTCTGACATCTTACACTTTCAGAGTACCCCACCAAACGTTCAAATTACTATTCCAATCCTAACATATAATTGTTAGAATGTCAACTAAATTTCCAAAAAAAAAAAGATAATGTCAATTAGATAAGTTACGTATGATAACTGACAAGTGATTGATCTTTCAAATTCAATATAAGTTCAATTCTTCTTCTTTTTCTATTTTTTCTATTTTTTTTTTTTTGTGGCAAAGAAAAAAAATTTAAAAAGAAATTAAGGGTCAATTGATTGTTTCTACAATTTGTTAAGTTGTATTTTCTACATTAATCCCTCAAAGTTGATAAATATCTTTTATTTTTTTAATAAATATCTTCAAATCACTTAGAAATCACCTTTTGGCAGATTCATAAATCATAAATCATACCCTTTGATCTTAAGCCATTTATAAATTTTCACCTCACAAATATAGGAACTCGAATAATAAGCCATTATCCTGAACTCATTTATTAAAAAAGGAACAGAGTTTCAAAGAGGAAAAATAATTTATGGAGTAAAAAGAGAATGTAACACTTTTACCTCATAACGTGGAAGTATTCAATACGCGAAAAATGCATTAAGAAGTCCTTCTCAATAAAGTAATAGTTACATTTTATACAACTCACAAACACCAAATTAATAGGTATATATATATACAATCAATCAAGAAAGAGAAAATGCTGAATATAAGAAGAAAGGAAAAAGAAAAGAAGGCAAAACGTAGAGCTTAAGCATGCACAATATGAGGGTCTAGACCTAACTGTTTCCTAATTTTACCCACAAATAAATCCTTGGATTTGATCAAGCCTGGAACAAGTCCGATCATTGTTGTGAACGAATATTGAGCAACAGCATCCCTTCTCCCCAACGAAACAATAGCCTTTATCGAACGAGGCTCGTAAGTCGCCATTTTGCTCTCTTTTCCTCCGGTCATCAGTAGTTTCAAGTTCTTTGCAGCCACCAGAGCATGTTTTTGTGCCAAATATCCTTGCTTAATTTCCTGGCACGCCAACATTGTCATGCAACAACCAAGGATTAGATTTGCTCGGGATACATACATATTCATTCAAGGCTACATTTACTTGAACCATAGGCGTAATGCATGTTTCGGTTGTTGCAAAGCATTATGGTAATGAAGCAAAGATATATTTCTGCAGATTAGATGAAACGTAAATTTCCATGTGAAGAAGGCACTTTAGGAGAGTTTCCTCTTCAGTGCCCAATAAATCTAAAATTTTAAAAGATTAGTGACAATCAATATGGTTTTAAGATGCTGGAAAGCCTAGAATATAATTTTAGTAGGGTGAATATGCTAGAATCAAATTGGATTACGCTATGAAATGTTGTCAAAATCATTGGTACTTTATAAAGAGTTTCTTCAACATCTACTCAATTTTTAACATTCTGCTAAAAATCTGAACCACTACCCTCTCCAGGGTAGTAAGAGATTACATCTCTGATTTCAGCATGGTTAAAAGTTCATTTCATCCTATTCTTACAATTTTTCATAAATGAGCAACATTTATTCAAGTCTTAAGTTAGTCATTAAACAATATTTATTTCATACATGAGCAAACATTTATTTAAGTCTAAGTTGGTCATTAAAACAATATTAATCCTTGCAAGAAAACCATCCAAAGATAGGTGTGATTTAGCACTCACCCGAACATCAGTGATGTCGCCAATGGCAAAAACATTCTTGCGACCCTTGACTCTCATATTCTCATCAACCATTAACCTTCCAAGATTGTCCAAGTTATCCTTCAATATGGTCTCCTTTAGCCATGCCGAACCCAGTGGTTTCCCTATGCACAAAAACATGCAATCTGCTTTGATAATCTCTCCAGCTGAAGTTCGATAAGTTTTGCTTCCATCGGAAATACTGTTCAAATTGACTGATTGCTCCAGTTTTACTTCCACTTTCTTTGATTTCAACCAATCTAGAGCTTTACCAGCAGCTTTTGGTCCGATAAATTCGAGCAACCTGTATCCCTTATGCACCAGAGTAACCTTCTTTTCTGGATAATCAGCAGCAATTTCTCCGGCAAGTTCGACACCAGTGGGGCCACCTCCAATGATCAAAATGGAATGTGCCTCTTTTATCTTTTCATTTTCTGCCATTGGAAAGAAGTAGTAGTTCAATCATAAGTAACATCATATGAGAAATGGGATGAGCTATAATCCAATGGTTTTTAATAGTCCATAAACAATCATACTATCAATAAAATTGTAGTTATATGTAAATCTAGAATCCAAGTTCAGTGATTTTAAAAGAGGTGATACTAGAGTCCACACGGTGAAACAAGTTTCAAGAATTGACCAGATAATTTACAAATTTGAGGTACACAATAAAGCTCAGGCTTTTGATATTCGATCCTAAGCAAATCGTAGCTATCATTTGAATCGAAGCAACTGCAAACTTTTCTAAAGATAAAAACACATCCTAGTAACTTTTTCTTTGATACAAATGGCAAAATTTGAAATACTTCACCCAATTCTACTTTAAAAATTCTCTCTTTTTTTTATTGCTTTGGAAACTTATGCTGCAGTTCATGAGAATAAGAACAATGTCAAATTCCTATATATAGTTTTGTAATTTGACATAATTTTACCTGTTTCGTATTGTTCAAGTTTTTCATTTCTTGTTGGTAGAATGGGATGATCTTCGTGGCCAGTAGCAATGACAAGAAAGTCGTACGGGATTAGACGGCCCTCTGAGGTCAATACCTCAGTGGCAGTGATGTCGATGGCACTGGCTGTAATGACACGGCCATTGGTAAGGTATTCTCGGTGTTTGATAACCGATCTCTCTGCAAATGATGGCTCCACCGTTGACCTCAAGCTAGCCCATGTGATCTCAAAATATTCCTTCCTGGTTGAATCTTAATCTTAGCAAAAAAGATAATAACGTATCTATACTATTATCAAGATTATTCTTTAGGGTAGTTTAATAAACCAATTTAACTGACAACTCTTCAAGAACAAAATAAAGTGAAGAGTAAAGAGCTAAATAAGAAAGATATGCAAATAATCGATTGGAGATGTGACATGATCTTTATGTCAAAGGAAAATCTAGGCAAATTGCATTTTGGTTGCTTATGCATTATCACCACAATGCTCCCAATGTTTTCTTTCAGTTTTGAGTAGTTTTCTATTGATTTAATTTTAGTTTTGAAAAATGTAAAGGAGATAAACAATGTATAATATTTAAAAAATGAAACCTTGTCGGAACATATTATGATGAAACAGAGTAAATTGGACTTGTTAAGGCCTAGGACTAATGGCTCTAATTAATAGTCTCATGCAGGGGTATATATATAATTGCATAACCTCTTCGATTTGTAAATTAAATTTGAACGGATTAAATGCTTATCCAATTAAGTACATTTGATAACGCAATTTGAATACTACAGAAAATGGAAGGCATAAAAGTTTAAGTGACACGAAGTGCAAAAACAACATCACTTATCATTGAATGTTTTGAACGCTAAAAATTCAAAATGACCACTTAAAAACTTCACTCTTAAATTTTTTAGTACTTAATTTTCAGTTTTATCAAACACCCAAGTCTGTGCTCCTCAATCCATGTCGGTGTACCGGATTGAATTGTTGAACATCATCATAATGTACATAAGCATAGCATCAGAAATACATACAATTTAGCTTATATTATGTAATCTTTACCACTTGATGTCACTAAAAAGGTATATGCAGAAGCTAATTTCTGGTATGAATTGATAAAAAATAAAAATATGTGTAAAGCTTTACAAATTGGTCTAATATGTGAAACTCTACAAAATTCAGTTTCATCAAATAGAATATGTAAAACCCACATAAAGAATATGTACATAAGGCTAAAAATGATAAAATCAAGCAATTCCCAAATTCAATTTGAAGAAATATTCATATATCAAAAGAAAAAGATGGAAATGAAAGGAAAAGAGAGGAATATAGAAGGCTTACGGATCAATGAGAGTGACGTCAGCAATAAATTGCAGAGATTTGGCAATAAGAGAGCCAGCTACACCACCTCCGATCACCACTACCCTCCTCTCTCCTCCCCATTCTTTGTGGGTATCCATTTCAATTCTTTCTTCAACTGATATTCCTCATCAAGTCCTCCTACATATATACATATATATATATATACACACGTATGCGCGTATATATGTGTGTTGCACTTGTCAAAGTATTAAATGTATACGTGCAACACAGACCAATTCCATTTTTTGCCAGTGGGAAGAAGAAACCAAGAAGGTCGTCGGCAGGTGAGGAAATAATCAGCTATTCCATGGACCACGTGGTCCACCAGTTAGGATCAGGACTCGTGTGAGAAATTGTGATGGCCTGCTGGATTTAATTTTTGATAAAAGTTTTCAGTATTTTTGAGAATAAAAAATTAGAAAATTGTATATAAAAGTTGGTCTTGTTATGTCATTCATAAAATAATTTTCTAGTTTTAAAAAATTGAAAATCCTAATACTGTACAAAAATTTTATTTGATTTAATTTTTCTGATAATAATTTTCTCAAAACTCAATTATAAAAAGATTTATTTTTTATAATTCTCTGAAAATATTATAAAGAACTATTTTTAGAAAACTTAATAAAAAAATTAAATTATTATTATTTTATTTCCTAATCATTGATAAATGTGTTTTTAATTTTTGAGTGACAAATCGAAAAACTCATAATTTTTTTTTTTGAGAAATATTTTTATTCTAACAAAAAAAAAAATTAATTTATTAGTAGTAATAATGTATAGCTATTAATGGTAATTTTGTATAGAATATTAAATTTGGCCCACCAAATATTTTTCAGAATTTTATTAATAATAATTATTCATGATTATTAATGATAATTTTGTATAAGAAAATTAAAGCTGACCTTCCAAAATTTTATAAAGTTCTCATTTATAGTTTACCCATCTATGGAAATTAAAAATGGTTAATGAAATAAGTTATTTATGATTCATTCTTCAAAGTCTGATGTTCCTTTTGGTATTGGCTTTAAAAATTCAAACTTAATAATAGAAGTGTTTATTATTTTACTAACAGGCGCTCCTACTTCCAAAGGGAGGTCAAGCGTTCGAACTCAGTGGAAGCAGTGTATGTGAGCCTTATAATTTTATTTCTATTTATTTTTCTCGTGATACCGGACAATGACAACTTTATTAATAGACTGTTAACTAATTTTCTTTCTATTTATTTTTCTCACATCGTTTATAGATTTGTTCTTTTAAATGTACGTTAAAAATTACACCAGGAAGAAAATTTTAATTGTAATTATTTTATTTATTTATAAAATTTAACTTTATATCACTATTTGGCCCTCCAATTGGAAATTTCTTGCTCCGCCCTTGATTCTAAACTCACGAACACGCAATAGGAAAATACATTCACAAATTTTAATTTTTGATTTTATCTTGAATTGGGTGGTTGCTTTGTGTGTTTTAAAAGTATTTTTTTAATATAGGAAATATCTTAATATATGAAGGAGAAAAAAAATAGTAAAACTTATAATTATGAAATCCAAACCCTAATATAACTTAATAATTCGAATTTAATCTTGCCAGTATATATTTTAGTTTAAGAGACTTATTCTATTAATTTTTTAATTAGTTAAAATTAGAATTTATAAATTTTTACCATAAATGAGTGATCTTTTTGGTGAATAAGAATCTTTAATTTACATAATTTACTTACCCAACAAAGATATAGATAGAGTTATTGAAAAACATAAAGAGTGAATATATATATATATGTCACATATATATTGAAAAAGATTAGTAGAAGAAAACAAATTAAATATAAAGAAAAAAACACTAGTGCAATTATTTATTATTTCATTTTTTTTCAATTGACAATTCCTTTAATTTCGTTTGTTAAAATATATCCTTTTAATTATTGTCACGTCAAATTTAACATCACATCTAGAATTTTAATGAATTTTAATTAGTGATGTGTGGCACTGCTCAACGGAATAATGTCTATCAACCACTGGAATTTCTTGATAAATTGGGCCCCACAAAGACGAAGTCAACATTCAAAACTAGTTGAGGTTGAGTTGTTTCTACTTCATAGGATGAATGTTGACATGGTCCATATCCAGTTTCTGAATGCTTCTGGACAGGTCATTACCAAGGCAATAGAATAAATGGACAATTGGAATAGGAGCCCAACGGACCCAAGATCTGTTAGTAATGGCTGAAGTTGGCCTATTACGCAAAACGTATGAGGCCCAACCAAGGGTGGATCCAGGAATTATCAGTAAAATGGGCTAAAATTAAACATAAATTTAATAACACAATTTCTTAAGTAAATTTTTTTATAACATAATCTAGATAAATATTTGAATTCAAATATTACAAAATATTTATCTAAGTTGTGTTCGACGAGTCTTTAAAGACTCGAATTCGTCAATAATAGACTCCAAGTCAATTTTTCAAACAAGGTCCAGTCATGCAATCAGTAAGAAATTCGCCTCCCATCGTGCTATGTTTTAACACGTTCCATATTTTGTTTTTTTAGTTTTAAAGATTGAATTATTGTAATTTTTGTTTGTGGTTTTATTTTATAAATCAATTTGAAAATCTAACACTTACCCATTTATATTTGTTTTATCTAAATCTATAGTAAGTTAGTAACTTTTGATTTGTGAATTATTGAATTTAGATGTTTTCTTTTATACTAATACTCCTTGTCTACTTAGAGATCAAAATCATCAAATTTTCGTACTTTATAATGCAATAGATTTTTTTGTTTATTTGTTGAATACTTTCTAGATAAACACACGAGTTATGTTTATTTTTCATGATGATTTGAAAGTGTTGAAATTATGAATTTATTATATATATATATAATTTGTCTCAAATTTGTCTCAAAGTATGTTTTACTTCGTATCCTAATACTCATCATTAATAAGGCTTGTTAGGCTTGGGCTTTTATTTTAGTATTGTGGCTTAGTTGATTTGGGCTTATTTGGGTGGGCTAATATTAATAATAAATATTTTTTTTGGGCTGGGCTAAAAATACACATAGTCATAAAAAAACAAAAAAAATAAAAAATTTGGGGTGGGCTGGAGCCCAGCCCAGCCCTACGTTGGATCCGCCAGTGGGCCCAACTCCAATCCACAACAAAATTTTGGTTTCGGGCTGAATTCCGTTTGATATTATTATTTTTATTTATATATATATATTTTAATTCTAACAAACAACACTTGTACTTGTCAGTATTTGAACCTTGCGAGTAAAAAAATTGAAGAAGTATAACTAAATTACAACATATAAATACATATGGTTATTAGTGTTTTTGAAACAATTGAAGGGCATATTATAAAATGATAGTGTGGATTGGATTGTAACTAGAAGGTAAATAATTGTAATTATTAAGTGTAATAAATTGGGTAAATTATACTGACCTCCCTTGAGATTTCGTCAATCTACACAGACCTCCCTTTTTGTTTGCCAAACTACACTGACCTCCCCGATAAATGGATGGTGTTAATGGAAAGAGTAAAATTACTAATTTACCCTTACTTATTAATTTATTATAAAAGTATAAAATATCATGAATATAAAATACCAATAGTACCCTTTTAAGATTTTTTTTTTTTTTTTCCTTCTCCTTTCCCATGGCCTTGCCCCTGCCGACAAGCCCACTATCTCTCCCCTCTGTCCCCAACGGCTCCCCGACAACCACGTTTACTTGAATTTTTTTTTCTTCTTCTTCACAGTAGAATCCCACAAGCCGAAGTGATCGTCCGGTCATTGGAGACCGATTTGGCATTGGTGTTCAAGCCCAGAGGTTGCAAATTTAAGCCGACTAATTGTGACCAACTAGTAGAGGCTCTGAGGCACGTGACAAAGGCATTGGTTGCATTGCATGACCATTCGTTCATGCACAGGGACTTGGGGTAGGACAAGGTGATGATGAGTACTGAGAGAGAGAACGAGTGGTTCATGACTGGGTTAGATGAAGCGGTGAGTGTGCCGCAGTTGTACCCACACGGAGGTGGTGGTGGTGTGGCGGCGGTGCCAGCAAAGAGCGGGAGGCACGCGCCAGAGATGCGGAGGGGTTTGCATGGGGTGAAGGTAGATGTGTGAGGTGTGGGTCAGCTTGTGAAGACATGTGGGCTGGTGGGTATGCCTAAATTGCTCAGAGAGTTGTAGAACTGGTGTCTGGAACACAATCCGGAGCAGCGGCCGACGGCGGCTGACTGCTACCACCACCTGCTACAGTTGCAGGCTTCTCTGTCATCCGAGCAAGGTGTTCTCGGCGGTGAAACGAAACGACGAGGACTACGGCACGGATGACGGGTACAGTAGGCACTCTTAAACTGGGTTTGCATTTTTTTATATTGAGTTTTTCTTTTTTGCGGCCCCCCCTCTCTCTCTTTCTCTTTCTCTTTCTACAAGCAATACTCACTTTCTCTGTATTTCTTTCCTCATTTTTTGCTTCATTATTGAGTGATTAGAAGTGGGTTTCACATACATGCTTCTCCAGTGATAGCCCGGCCAGCATCTTTTGCAAGAACCCATCTCCGGTGACGCCGAGTTTCAGCAACCCAGTTAGGTCCGGTGACAACTCAGACTATCAAGTGTCAATGAACACACCAGCCAAGCTCCGAACTGAAATGTACATGAACTCCGACTCGCCGACTACAGACCCATCTTTCCTTGCTCTAATTTTCTCGCCAGTAAAACAGCAGCCGTTGGTCTCACCAGTAAATTTTGTGGCTGCAGTTTAGAACCATTGGGTGTTCTGGGTTTGTTGATATGAGGGCATCATTGTCCTTTTGAGTTTATAAGTCAAGGATAGTATTGCAAATTTGTAGTGATTATTGAGGTTAAAAATGTCATTTCAGGTATTAGAAAGGTAAAATTGTCTTTGTATTAATTTTTTCTGACGGACATAAGCATAAATTGTTAGTTGTTTAACGGCAGGAAGTCCGTGTTATCAGTCTATAAACTTTGAGGGAGGTCAATGTTATTTGACAAATAAGAAGGGAGGTCAGTGTATGATGACGAAACCTCAAGGGAGGCCGGTGTAATTATCCCTAATAAATTTTAATTATAAGGAAAGTAATTTACCTAAAATTCATTTTAATCAAATTCAATCAAAGAAGAGAGAAGAAAAATGATGAGAACAGAAATCAATATGAAAGTTTAATTTTATAATCTTTATAATAGTCTCTTTCAAATCGTGGAAGACTGGAAGGTGGTGTGAATTGACACGCAGAGAGCTCACAGATACTTCAGTGAAGTCGAGTTTAT